TTCTTCGAGAATTAAAAACATCGTACCACAGAGATATATGTACACCCATTTTTAGAGCAGCACAATTTATAATAGCTAGATCTTGGAAAACAACCCACATGCCCATCAACCGAGGAATGGGTAAAAAAGATGTGGTCTTTTTATATCATGAAGTATTACTCAGCCATAAAGAGGAATAAACTGGAGACTTTTTTAGGTAAATGGATACAACTGGAGACCATACTCATAAGTGAAATAAACCAGACGCAAAATGTGTAAACATCGTATTGTCTCCCTGTGTGAGAAGCTGAAAGAGTAAATGTGATCCAAAATGTACAGTAGATACTGTAAAACAGGAAGAAACTTCAAAGGAAAGAGAAACTGGTTTAGGGAAAGGGGAAAAAAGAAGGGAAAACAAAAGGAAAAAATATATGTATATGGAAGTATATATGAAAGTTAAGGTAGCTGCGCTGCTCATTTCTCTCAGTTCACTGAAGGGATAGGTTTGTGCTAATATTGTTTGGACAATTAAGTGCTGATATCCTGTACTCTGATTTGAAGATAACAATACACAGTGTGTTGAGCATTATTACTCTTCTATCATATTGTTTTGGAATTCTGTTTTTTTGTTTTTATGGTTTTTTGTTTCTTTTTGTTTTTTTTGTTTTTGTTTTGTCTTTTTGAGACAGGGTCTCGCTCTGCAGTTCAGGCTGACCTTGAGCTCACTTAGTAACCCAGGCTGGCCTCGAACTCGCAAACGATCCTCCTGCCTCAGCCTCCCAAGTACTGGGATTACAGGCGTGCGCCACCACACCCAGCTTGTTTCTTTTCCTTTAAAATAAAAAAGAATTCATTCTTCAATGTGGGGGGACATGAACACGACATATCTGACATCTAGCAGGTTGGGAGTTACATTTTCCCCTATATTAATCTAAGCCTGTGTCCCCACATCACTGCCAAGGGGAAAAAAGCTTTCTATCTCCTTTTCCCTTTCCACATTTTCTGAGCTGCATCTCATAGGCCAAGAGATATCAATAAGCCCACTAGCTGGGGCCTAAGTGCTATGGCTCTAGCCTTCTGGCCTCTCACAGCAGGGAAGACCCTGGAAGGGAATGGGGAGATATTGAATGCCCCAACTTTATCTAGCACAACACTCATTTCCCACTTTCCGAAGACATATTGAAGCGGTTTATCTCCTGTTACTGAAATTATTTGTCTTCTCTCATTTTCTTTGTCCCTGTGGTTTTATATCTTTATACACTTTTAGCAGGGCAGTAAAATAACCTCATGTGGTCACTCAAGCAGTCCTGGACAAGGGTGTGGTGGCACATGCCTGTAATCCCAGAACTTGGGAGGCTGTGGCACAAGGATCACCGTGAGTTCAAGGCCAGCTTGCACTACTACAGGGTGAGACCCTATTTCAAAAACAACAAAGGGCTGGGGATTTAGCTCAGTGGCACAGCACCTGCCTGGCAAGTGCAAGGTCATGAGTTTGATTCTCGGTACCGGAAAAAAACCAAAACAACAACAACAACAACAACAAAACCGAAACAAACAAAACAAAAGTCCAGGAGCCTATAATCAAAATCAACTTGATTGAGGCTAGCAAGGTCCTTCCAGGAGGTTAAACTCTCCCCATATAAGGAAAGCCATAGTTTTTAGAGTGGAAATGGCCTACCTTCCACACAAGAACTTTCTACTTTTTCAGTGGGGCAGAAAAGTGTTTTTGAGGTCTTGACTTCAAATCCATAACACGATTTTTAAAAAAAAATTAAATATACTAAAAAAACCTAACAGGCACGGTGGTGCACTTCTGTAATCCCAGTACTCAGCGGGATTGCCCTGAGTTCCAGGCCAGCCTGGACTATGTGGTAAATTTTAAATCAGCCTGGACTACAAAGTAAGACCCTGTCTCAAAAAAACCCAAAAAAACAAAAAAAAAACTAGAAAAAGATTTCAGCAGTTATTAATTCAGGGAAATGGGAAAGTAAGCATTATATTACTCTTTGTATATTTCTGTAACTTTAAAATTTTCAGAATACCAGCATGAAGAACCATGAGAAATCAATCTGCTACACACAAGTTCAGAGACGCAAGACAAGGGGAAGCCAGCTAAGACCTGACATAGTCATGGCCTTCTCAGCTCTCCTGCACCACACCAGACCCTGTCATCTTCAATGAGTCTGCACATCCTGGTCCTAGGTTTATGCCTTCAATTCTTGAATACTGGAGCAGACTACCAATTCAAAACTCTGCGCTGCCATATGATACATTTCATTTTTCTATCCGGAGGAAAAATGCAGCAATCTATATAACTTCACGCCCAACTCAAGTAAAGAGCTGAGGCTTCCTCTCTGCCAAGCCAAGTGGTCTGAAGGAGAAATCAGAGCTAGTCCTACCATTCAACAAGTCCATGGTGCATGGAAAAGAGGACAAACACAAGTGTGGCTCAGTGTCTCAGTGTCCACAGCAGTATCTGTAACAGACATTAGCCACAACCTAAAACTGGAGGCTAAATGCCACTTAGAGAACAGAAAAAATGCTGTGTTCCCATTTGAAAGTCTTTAGTTTATTCTTCAGAAAATTCTCCAAGACGCTGGATATTAGTTCTCATTGTGAATGGCCCAGAAAAGATTTCCACTCACAACAACATGGTCCTGACCAGGATAACCAACCACAGAGCACCTGTGGTTCAAGGGCTGTCAACTGTGCACTCTCTCTGGACTTTGGCCCAAAGAACAACCAGGTGGGTTGCAGATACAGGCTGGTCCCAGAGGTTTCTAATGAGGCTTCCACCATTCAAATTTCCCTTTGGAAAGGTCAACACTTCTATACCAGATATGTATGATCCTATGAAGGAAGAAAGGCTCAAGGGATGATCAAGAGCAATTCCCTTTAAACTGCATTCAATATAATCCTTTCCTTTCTCCCTCTCTTTCTTTTCTTTTCTGGTTTTTTTTTTTTTTTTTTGAGACAGGACTTACTATGCTGCCCAGGTTGACCTTAAATTCCTGGGCTTGAGTGCCCCTCCTGCCTCAACCTCCCCATTAGCTGCTACACCTGCCCCTGCTTCTTTCTTTGGAATCTGGTAAAAACAACTGTGCTACACGTAACTGTCACTTTCTGCTGGATGCCCTCCCTGAAGCTTCTGGTTAGAATGAATCTATTTCCCTTCAACACTTGGCCTCTAGGAATTACAGCACACCTTTCATGTCAGAGGCCAGGTCCCACTGAGGAAGGGGAAAGGTCTCCTGCACTGGGGAGCTCATGGTCTGTAGGGAGAGAGATCAAGCACAGGCCCCAGGAATGTGAGAATTACCAGTAGTTCTAGATGATGTAAGAGAAGAACAGGGTGGGAGATATAGCTCAGCTGTAGAGCACTTGCCTAGCAACCCCCAGCACCACACACACACAAAAAGAACAGATCAGGTGCTAGCAGAGGGAAAGACACCCATCTGAACCAAGCTTTACAAGACGGCAGGGTCTGTCCAAACAGTAACAGAACAAGGAAATTCCAGAAAAATAGAAAAAAAGCAACCACAAAGCTAGGAAATTAATGGAGACTGCCAAGTAAACATTTCAGCTGAGCCACTCAAGGGAAAATACAATAAAATCAGGCTGGCAAAAAATTATGCCAGACACCACAGGAATTTATTTTTGTTTCTATTTTGCACTACTAGGGCTTGAACTCAGAGCCTTCACACTCAGCTACATCCCCAGCCCTTCTGATTTTTTGAGATAGGGGCGGGGCTGGGGATTTAGCTCAGCGGCAAAAGCGCCTGCCTGGCAAGCGCAAGGTCATGAGTTCGGTTCCCTGTACCGGAGGGGAAAAAAAAAAAAAAAAAAAAAGAGAGATAGGGGCTTACTATGTTGCCCAGGGTTGGGTCAAGATCCTCCAGCCTCAGCCTCCTAAGTAGCTGAAATTATAGGCCTATACCACACCATGCTCAACTAGTGAAGTAATTTGAATACCAAGCCAAAGAGTTTGGGCCTGTGGTTGTGGAGATGACGTAAAACATACTTTCCTTTTAGAAGCTTTGTCAGGACCACTCAATCTCACATGTGTCCATACATCCACGTTTTTTTTGGTTTTTCTCCAGTACTGGGAACTGAACTCATGACCTTGCGCTTGCCAGGCAGGCGTTGTGCCACTGAGCTAAATCCCCAGCCCCCATACATCCACATGTATACATGAGATGCTATTCCTTCCACTCAGCCAGAGCTGAGAACAGCTGACTGAGTGACCACTGTTCCTCATGGGGTGCCTTATACTCTTCAAGGGTGCTAGAAAAAAACCAGGCAGACTTAAGACTTTCTGTGTCCTCTCCATACATCTTCAGGCACCTACACATCATAAGAAAATCCTGAGTGCCAGGTTAACAGCCAGTGAGGGGCAAGATGGGTAAATGATGCAAAGTAACACTTGTCAGGACTCTGACCAAGTCTTGAAATGCACTTACATCCAGAGCCACAAGGAGGTAAGACCAGAGAAGTGGTGAGAGCCCTCGCTCAGGGGTCTCTCTCTCAGGACCACACAAGTCCAGGGTCAGCAGCACTTCACTTGCCTCCTCATAACTCCTGCCCTGCCATCTCTAAAATTCTGGGTTCTGTCAATGTCAGGCACCTTCTTTTTTCTCCCAGTACTGGAACTGAACTCAAAGCCTTTGCACTGAGCTGCATTCCCAGCCCTTACTTATTTTGAGACACAGTAGGTCACTAAATTGCCCAAGCTAGATGCAAGTTTGTAATCCTCCTGCTTCAGCCTCCCAGAGCGGTGTGCATCACCATACCATACTCGGCTAAGCACCTGGGGTTTTTTTCATTGTTTTTTCTATTTTATTTTGTTTTTAAGGACAAAGAAAGAAAGGCAGGCTAGAAGTCAGATCACGCTATCTTTCAAATGTGTGGAGACAGCAGAAATCACCAGACTACATCTCTCCACCCCTCATGGGAGGCATGCTTTCCCAACCACGACAAGGAGGTGAGCTATAGGCATCCACCTTCTCAACACACTCACTCACCTGGACAGTCGGCTTCGTCGCTCTCATCCGCACAAGTCGGCCAGCCGTCACAGTGCCAAGAGAGGGGGATGCACTGGATGGCACCACTGCGACAGGCAAACTGCCCAGGGTTACACCGCAGCTCTATGGAAGCAAAGGCAAGAATTCGTTGAGGGAGCAGCAGCAAGAGCAGAGAACTGGAGTGCTGAGGCCCTGCCACCAATGAGCTCAAAGACAAGACAACTATACACAGCCTGCCTCTTACAAAAGGTCTAGGAAACACACTCCCAAAGGAGCAACCAGGAACTGTTACAGTACTGCACCAGTGGACAGACAGAGCAATACTCACTCCAATTCTGTATCAGTTCAAACATACACTCTTGAGTTTGGTTCTTGCTATCATTTGGATATTGAATCTGAAGGCTCCATCCCCAGGGTGACATTACCAGGAAGTACTGTACCATTTGGAGACAGGGGCTTGGGGGAAGGTCCTCAGGTCCCTGGGGCATACCCTCAAAAGAGACTGTGGGCCTCACCAGCTCCTCCTCCGAGCCTCCTGGCTCATGATATGAGCACACACTGACCACCATGACATGATAGCCTCTCCAAAGATTCAAATCAGTCAGAAAACCTGATCTTGAACTTGCACTTCCAGAACCATGAGACAAAATAAACTTCTCTTTATCTCTTAAGTAGTCTTAGACAGATATTTCACTATAGTGATGTAAAGCTAACACATGACACAGCTCTGCACCAGACTACTGAGGAGACAGAGATGAGAGAAAAGACATACTGCTCACCTCTTTAGGGATTCTGGATCAACGAGACAGACGTATACATAAACAGAGGTTTCTGAAAGCAAATGGAGACAACTACCACTGCAGTGGCTCAAATAGCATGCCAAAACAGTGAAAGAAAGACACAGTTTCTGAGGAGCAATTACAATACAGGGATGGGAGGAAAGTATTAAATATTCAGGAAAGCACAGGCTTGAACTGAGTAGGAGTCAGTAAGCTACAGCTCATGAGCCAAATCTTGCCCTTTCCAACTTTTTTTCTTTTTTGCAGTGCTGGGGATGGAACGTAGGGCCTCCCACATGCTAAGCATGGGCTCTACCGCTGAGCTACATCCCCAGCTCTTAAACACAGTATCAGTTTTATGGAAAAATGTATTGCCTGTGGATGTTTTCAAACTACAAGAGCAGTGTTATGGGATTGGGGTGTGGCTCAGTGGTTGAGTGCTTGCCCAGCATTCATAAGGCCCTGGGTTTGATCCCCAGTACCACAAAAGTAACAAAAATCTCCTCTGCTTTCAGCAGGGAGTGGTGGTGCACGCCTATAATCCCAGCACTCGGGAGGCTGAGGTAGGAGGATCGTTGCAAGTTTGAGGCCAGCCTGGGTTACAAAGTGAGCTCAAGGCCAGCCTGAACTGCATAGCAAAACCCTGTCCCAAAAAGACCAACCAACCAACCAACAAACAATAAAACAAAAAAACAAGAGCAGTGCTGACTGCAAGAGAAGCTGTATGACCTCCCTAAATAATAGCTACTCTCTAGCTCTTTAAGAAACAGTCTGCAGAGCCCGGGTATATAGTTCAGTGGAACAGCACCTTGCTGGCAAGCACAAGGTCCCGAGTTTGACAGCTGGTACCAAAAAAATCAGTCTGGGGGCTGGGGATTTAGCTCAGCGGCACAGCGCTTGCCCGGCAAGCGCAAGGTCGTGAGTTTGATTACCGGTACCGGAAAAAGAAAAAAAAAAAACCAGTCTACAGACTCCTGACCCAAGGTGCCCTCTAGTAAAGGGGTAACCTCAGAACCAATGTACACGGTGTGAAGAATAAGCCCAGTACAGCAGCTTGATGACAGAAAGAAGCAAAAACCAACCACAGCATGCTGCTGTGTTTGCTCCTTTACCTGTTCTCCTTCTAGAATCATTCCACTTAAACTGGGGGGGAAAGAGAACTATTTTTGCAGCTCAGTCCTATCTTATCACTACTCTAAATAATTAAGTCCAAACATTAACTTACCAAAGAAATTTTACTCACCTAAGCAAGTAGGAAGGGCTGGGGATATAGCTCAGTGGCACAAGCACCTGCTTGGCAAGTGCAAGGTCCTGAGTTCAATTCCCAGTACCAAAAAAAAAAAATCTAAGCAAGTAGGAAGCACAACCTGCAGCTGAGCCCCACACCCTCAAACACCAACCCCACTAAGAGCCAACTCCCAAGATAACGTGAGCCTTGTGTGGAAGAGTGCCCTGTGAGCAGAGTCAGGTGGAAGGCACAGCCCCAGTGTCATGCTCCTCTCCTTGCAGGGTCCTCCAGTCTAAGACAGATGGACAAGGGAGCAAAAGCCACAGAACTGTTACTTCCATGTTCCTTTCCTCTACCACTTCTAATGCTATGAGAAATGAAGTCAACAGAACCTAAAAGAACACTGGGCTGAGTGGAGGTGTTCAATTTTCTGTATATATGTATTTATATAAAACCTTGACTGAATAGTCAAAATACCTTCTATTTTATAAATTCATTTGGCTAGGAAGGGAGTTACAGGGACTGGATTAAATGCTTGGCTAAAAAGCCTGAGAAAGGGAGGAGAACAGAAGCAGAGATTAAAAATTAATGAGGAAAAAAATCAAACAGAATTGACCAGAAATGGCACAAATGATAGGATAGATATTAAACGTTGTTACAACTATATTGTAAATGCTCAAGAAGCTAAAGGAAAAATCAAACACTAAGCAGAGATGTGAAGATAGAAAAAGAAACAAACCTACGTAGAGATGAAGACTGCCTGAGATGAAAACACCACTCACAGATTTCATTTCGTACAAGAAAAAATTAGTGACTGGAAGATGTAACAATAGAAACTTCCCAAATTCAAACACAGAACGTAAAAGGACTGGAAAGAGTGCACAAAGCACCACTAATGCATTGGACAACTTTATGACCCCTAACAATGCAACTGGAGAGGGGAACAGACAGAATATTTTAAAACAAAATCTTGCCAATTTGATGAAAACTAGAAAAAACCTACAAAGCCAAGGAGCTCAATGAGCCCTAAGCATCAGAAATAAAACAACTCCAGATTATATTGGAATCAAGTTCCTTAAAACTAGCTATAAAAAGAAAAATCTTGACTCAGCTACTCAGGAAGGTAAAATTGATGGATCACAAGTTCAAGGCCAACCTGGGGAATACTGCAAGACCTTGTCTCAAAATAAAATCTGTAAGAGGGCTGGTGTTGCAGCTTAGTGGTAGAGCCCTTGTCTAGCACACTCAAGGCCGTGGTTCAACCCACAGCACTGCAGGGAGCAGGGGGAGTTGAGAGAAATCTTAAAAGGCAGGCAGCAAGTAAAGTTATATGCACAGAAAAACAAGGATGATGGCAAGTTTCTCATTAGAAGTTATACAAGCTAGAAGGCCACAGCACAAAAAAGCTGGGGAGACAGAAACAATCATACTCCTTTAAGGGTGGGTAGATAGATGGATAGATAAATAGATAGACAGATGATAGATAGATAGATAGATAGATAGATAGACAGATAAACTAGTCTGTCACTTGCAGGTAGACTGTATTAAGTTAAAGGTGAATACCACCATATACCACAGTAAAACTTACAGCAACCAGCGCACACCTGTAGTCCCAGCACGTGGGAGGCCAAGGCAGGAGGATCCCAAATTCCAGTCCTGCCTGGGCAACTTAGCAAGACCCTGGCTCGAAATAAAAAAGAAAAAAATAAAATAAAAAAGGACTGGGGCTGGGCATGGTGGTGCACGCCTACAATCCCAGCACTCAGGAAGCTGAGGCAGGAGGATCATTGCGAGTTCGAGACCAGCCTGGGCTGCAAAGTGAGCTCAAGGCCAGCCTGAACTGCATAGTGAGACCCTGTCTCAAAAAGAACCCCCCTGCCCGCAAAAAAGGACTGGAGATGTAGCTCAGTGTGAAGACCCTGGGTTCAACCCCAGAACTACTGCAAAAAAATAAAATAATCAGGTGCACACCTGTAATCCTAGCTACTCAGGATGCAGAGAAGTGAAGATCACTTGAGTCTAGGAGTTCAAGACCAACCTGGTCAACCTACTGAGACCTGTCTCACAAAAAGAAAGAAAACAACAACATGGTAGATTTTAAAGTCACCTACATGATAAACATATGGAGTGATCTGAACACCTCAATTAAAAAGTATAATTTGTCCCATATGTAAAGAAGCAAGGTCCAACTATATATAGATAGTCCCTAACTTACAATAATTCAGCCCAGGTTTTTTGAGTTTACAAAGGTACAAAAGCAATTCACAGTTAGTAAAACTACATATAAAATTCTGAATTTTTATCTTCTGCGCTAGACCTGTGGTATATCATATAATTACAGGATAAACAACCAATACTTGTCAAACACGGTGGCATACACCTGTAATCCCAGCACTTGGGAGGCTGAAGCAGGAGGATTGGTACAAGTTTGAGACCAGTGTGGGCTATAAAGTGAGCTCAATGCCAGCCTGAACTGCACAGTGAGACCCTGTCTCAAAAAGACAAGACAAAAAAAAAAAAAAACCACAAAACACCAATACTTTAGAGTGTGCTGTGTTGCTAAACTATACCATTTGGCAGGTTAGGTGTATTAAATGTATTTTCATCTTATGGTATTTTCAAGTTATGATCTGTTATTGGATATAACCCCAATAACAAGTAAAGGAGAAAATATATTGCCTAAAAGAAACATTGTATGTAAGGATATACACAGGTGAAAATGAAGGAATGTAAAAGCATATACCATACTGTCTTAGTCCATCTCCTGCTACTGTAACAGAATACCACAGTCTACATAAATTACAAATAATAGAAGTTTATCTGCCTCACTGTGCTAGAGGCTGAGAAGTCCAAGATCAAGGGTCTGCCTCTGGTGATGGACCTCAGGTTGTGTAATAACATGGCAGAGGTATCATGCTGTGAGAGAAAGAAAAAGGTGTCAACCCCCCCCCCCTTTAAAACTGGCTCCTTTGATCATTAACATATTCCTGCAATTACTTCCTTAATCCATTAATGCCCTCATGTCCTAATCTTCTCTTGAATGGACCACCCTGCAACCCTATGCACTGGGGAGTAAATTTCCAACACATGAGTCCAAGGAACACATTTAAACCACA